GCCACCTTTACTTTCTCCTCTGTCTCTCCGACTCCCTATGATGTAGTGCCGCCGCTCCCCCGTTTTACCTCATCATTTTCTCTTGCCTTCTCTTTTGTCCCTTTTCCCTCTTTTTTTTTGCTGGAGCTGCTTTAACGATTCCCCTTATTCACCAGCAATCAGCACGCTTACTGTGCTGTTTCTTTATCCATACTTTCCTCAACAGAGTGCTGCACATTCACAGCTGCTCATCAGAGCAAGCGCAAGCAGTTTTAAAGCTAGAATATTATTTCCTGACAATAGTGTTTGCTGCAGCGATACTCTTTGGCCTTTATTCAATCAGGAAAGAAGCCACCGTGACTAGGATTGTACTTTTAGGAACATGGATTGATATGTACAGCACTGGCTTTGAGATTTGCTTGTACGAGAGATGCATCTCGATTGATCCAGACAGTGATGGTCACTGGCCAATTTTCCTTTTTTTTTTGACACTCGCAAGCTGAATTTACGTATTTTTCCAGACTATAAGTCGCTCCGGAGTATAAGTCGCACTAGTGCCCTCTAGCAGCTGTCAGTGTGAAAAAAACAAACGTAAATTTTCATTGATAAAGGAGTGGGAGATACTGGTACACAAGCCGTCTAGCGTCTGCCAGTTTGAAAATAACAAACATTTGAAATGATAAGTTTAAACGTGGCAAACCCAGCCAAAGGATGAATTAAAGTGTAAATTATAATCAGGAAAATATGGTAGTTGGTTTTTCAAAATACTTTACAGTGACTCAAATTCCAATCCCATTTTTTTTTTTTTTTTTTTTTTTTGCTAGATGTAGCATTGCCTGCACTTTTTAGTCCTGCTGCAGATGCTAAAGAGTCGTTACGTCAGTTTAATACCACAGCTGATGCAGACCTTTTGCACCTCTTGTTTTCCAAAAAGACACAAGTGCACAAGAACCCGTATTCATGTACAAGTACAAGTACAAGTACATGTACACACCTAGTTTTGCACCTCTTGTTTTCCAAAAAGACAGGTGCACAAGAACTCGTATTAATGAAGTACCTCACATTATTTGAGAAAATACCAGAGTATGACCCTAGACCCGAAAAAGACAACTCAAGGTTTAAGACTACTTTTTTTTGTATATATTTTTTCTGTCTATATATTTTTGTAGGTACAATTTACAATTACCAAAACATCCAAACAACATTAGCTTCGGGTCGTGGGTGCTTAGCCGGAGCTGCCCCCTGCTCTCGATGGTGATGGGTTAAATGCGGAGGACACGTTTCGTTGCGTGCAGTGTCACAATGGCGATAAATCACTTTCACTTTCAATAACACAACGGATATTTTCCTCCGCACACGCTGTCACACACAATGCGTTCAGGTACCACTGGAAACTTCAGAATCTGATGATTACTGCAGTTACTGCAGCAAACTACATTTTGTACAGTGTAGGACATATAGTTATTAAAAAAAAATGTTTTGGATCATCACATGTTCTTATATGACATAGTTCTCCAAATAAATGTATCTTTTCTGGTTTAACATCAGCATTCATTCATAAAAATGTATGAAACCCAGGGCCTGATATTATATCCAGGGTGCTAGTGTTCACAATACTCTCATACCAGTCCGGGAGCCCAGATTTGTAACCTAAAGAAAAGCAGATGGACTCATTGGACCTTCAACAAACACCCTGTTTTATAACAGAATTTTAATGAGTCATTCTTTCCCTTTTGATGCCTATCACACATTTGGGTTACCGAAAGAAGAATCTTGTGGGGAGGGCGGTCAGATGCCTAATGGGGCTCCTCTTTTTTCTCTACCTTAATCTACTTTCTGGAAAGTATTCAGTGTGATGTTACATGCTGTTTGCTAATTTTTTTTTTTTTTTTTTTGGCCAAAGCGGTCTTTATGAGAGCCGTAGCAATTGAAAGCAGAAGCAAGCGCAAACCGGACCAGATAAATCATCATGCTTCTCTTGCAGCACTGTGGGGAAAATGCTGCACAGTTGCCATGGAACCCTCTGTTGCTAGGCGATGGGTTGATTATTAGAGTTTTTATATAAGAGGCCGAATGGTATTTTCTTTGCTGTCAAGAAAATTTGTTTTTCAGCAGGCTTTTCTACCGCTGACGGGATGGCTGAATTAGGATGACAAGACAATCTCCCGTTTTAACGAAACGTATCCAGTTTTTTTTCGTATTCTCGGCTGACGCGTGTAATGTAATGAATATTTAAGTTTGTTTGACATTTGTGTCAATTGTAAACCACATGAACATTTCAGGATCAGGGAGGAAACGTCTTTACACCGTGTTAGGAATTATGACTGGCTGAATGAGAACACACGAGTGCGTACATCGCGGAGGCCGTGCTCCGTTGTTGAGTGCGTATGCTACAACAAAAGCATATCTATGACTGTAAAGCCTCCCAATCTGCATCTCTAATGACTTTTCATTTGATACAGCTGTATGCTGAGCGTGATCTCCTCTCCCTCTGCTGGTACTGGCTGCTCTTTGGTGCAACCACCAAATCACATCAGTTTTGCAAAAACAGTTAAGATAATGCCAAATCCTTGCACCTGTGTGATGGCATTTCAGACCAGCGGTCGCCAACATTTCTGCTGGTACTGGCTGCTCTTTGGTGCAAGCACCAAATCACATCAGTTTGCAAAAACAGTTAAGATAATGTCAAATCCTAGCACCTGTGTGATGGCATTTCAAACCAGCGGTCGCCAACATTTTCGTATCCAGGTCAGACAGTTAAATGTCTGAAAAACTTTTCACGGACAGGCCTTTATAAATACAACTAAATAAAATGATACAACCGGCATAAAAAAACAGGTATTTTCTAATCATTTGAACCCCCAAGCGGGACGGTTTTTGCCCACGGGCCGTATGTTTGACACTCTTCATCTTGATCCTTGGAGAGGAAATATCTCTTATCATTCGTAATACAGTGAGGCTTCAAGATACGAGCTACCCAAAATACGAGTTTTCCAAGTTACGTGTTAGCAACTATTGCAAGGTTTTCCTCGTGATACGAGGAAACATCGAGTTACGAGCGCTCAACCGAGCTCCTTTTTTCCACTCGTCTCGCTCACTGTGCCTCGCTTGGTTAATTTAGCCGTCGCTTTATTTCTCTCTCTGAAACGAGTTCATTGGTTATTAGTTATTTTTAATGGTGAAAAATGAAATTGAGATACGGGTGAATCGACACACACAAGTGCCGTGGAACGGAGTGAGCTCGTATCTTGAAGCCCCGCCGTATAACCTTTGTACAAAACAGCATCATCAATATAAATAAATACATTAATTTTGACATTTTTGACAAGAGTGACATGAAATGCTTTTGTGATCAGTACAAACCACTTTTTTTTTCAAGGCTTTGTTTCCTCTGGTAAAAAAGTCACTTTAGGTGAATTTATCTTGACACTTTCACCTCCTCTTAACTTCTTCTCCACAAATATACTGTCAGCTACATTTAAAAAGAGCACATTTCTTTTTTTATCCGTATCTTCCTTTTGTGCGTCATTGTATTAAATCCAATATTCAAATACGTAGTGAAAAGGACAGATTGTGAAATTGCTTTTGTCAGCACTTTGTTGACCAGTATAGTATCAGTGTTTTACGGTGTTCTCACAAAAATAAATATATATTTTTCTAGCGCCGGTTGGGGCTGAGAAGATAAAGTCTCGGGTTTTTTTTTTTTGTTTTTTTTTTTAAGTTCTTTTAAAATAAACATTATATTTCTGTGAAGTGCAAGTGCAGGTCGAGGACTATTTTGAGAACACTGACGACAAGGTGAGTCATCTTGTGAATGATTGTTCTTTGACATCCATAGGAACTGTCACCGGTTGCCTTCACAAAGGGCTATAAGTAAATGAATAAGTATTTTTATGTTTTTATATTTTTTATTTTCGGAATGGGAGATTTGGGTTGTGATTTAGAATGTGACAAACCTTAGGAGTTTTATTTTTACAGCATCAGTGTTATGGCTACAGAACATACAGTACGTGATAGACGATAAAGTAGTTGGTTGTCTTCTTGTTTGCATTTTCTTATCGAAGAGACAGATCACAATTGCGTTATGTATCATACAGAGGGCCGAGCACAGTAGCTAACATATATACGCTATATCATAGAGATATACATCTCACTGAGCTCTGAACTGTGAAGTGTCACACAAAAAACACACATTCGGAATCACAAACATATTAAAAAAGTTAGAAAGGAAAAGTCTGAGTTTTTTTGCACAAAAATACATCATTGACGATAGCAACCCTAAAAACGTGGCACTAATTTTAGTAATGGCAAGTGAGTGGTAAAGTGGCAAATATCCTCGATTCGCACGCGATATGATTTTGCACAAGTCTACTGCCGATTCCGCATCACTGTTTACGGGATGTCGCGCAAAGTTTAGTTGCGAATTTGAGCTTAGGTATCGCATCAGACAGGATGTAGCTGTTATTTTTGATGTTCGATCCTGAAATTTCGACCAATCGGAGCGATACCCATCCTGAGTATCGGATCAAGCCCTCCGTAGTTACCACTATTAATGTTAGAAATTTTAATTTTTCTTTCCAAGCCCTGTCCGCAACATCTCTTTTGTCCTTTATCCAGTGCTTTGTACCCATGACACGTACTTATTCACCTTCACTACGAGTACTACGTGTACTGCTGGCGGGATTCCTACCTTGGTCCTCAACTTTTTTTTACCATCGGTCACTCAAACTTCGAGATGATACAATCCTCAGCTCTATATCCAGCACAAGATGGATTCCTGATAATTGATTGATTGATTGATTGATTGATTGATTGACTGACATTGGACTATATGTCCATCTGCTTTCTGAAACTTATTCATTCACCTCCTCACTTACTGTCAATGTGACTCACTCAAGTGTAATATTCAGGGAGCTACATTAGAACAATTTGCAGTTTACGTTCTAATTTGAATTGCAAAGTAGCTTTTATAAAATAATGAATTCATAAGTAATGACATTACACCGCCTTTGTTTCCCCAGGTCCTCCAGTCATCGTAGGAATGAGCATCAACATAGCAAGCATCGACTCCATTTCAGAAGTAAACATGGTGAGTGCCTCTTTTTTTTTTTTTTTTTTAGCAGATGTAGCGCACCTGTCGTCAGTCACTCCTCCCACCTGCCGCTTGTGTTTGTGAGACGGCAATGTTGTTTGTGGCTACAGCAGACTGTAGCATAGCTAATCAAATAAACATGTTCTTTTTTTTTCCCCCCGAGAATGGGATTGAACCGACTGGACTGACTAGGCTCCTGAATTTCACAGTTTATTTTACAGTTTAATCGTATCAGCATTTCACAAGACAGTCGGCCTCTCGTAATCAGACACAGACTCAGGGCAGTCAAAAAAAACAGTTGGGGAAGTGAAACAGAAATCTGACCGATGATGTCACGCTGCCTCATGGCACTCTATTGGTTTAATTGAATTGTGCGACTGCAGCTCCATGTCCCTTGGTTTCTATTTTGTGTTGTTTTCTATCAGTGTTCTACGTTCAATACAGAAAAAAATATTTCATGAAACCAATTATAGGATGAAGGTTGACATACAGTTCTGCGCTGAAATGAGTGTCAAGGTTTTAAAAGAAAAAAGTCTCACGATGTACCCTGTATCTCAAATGTGTTTGACTTATTTTGAGTAAATATTTAGTGCAGACTTTCTTTATGAAGGTTTTGTTGTTTCACGGCAGAGGCCGTAAACAGCGCAGTACTCAGACTACAACTACAACGGCAGTGATGTTTTATCTTGCGGACAGTAAACCTTCACTTGAGTGCATTTCCTGTTAGATACAGTATTACATAGGAGCATCCAGAACAACTGGATTTGTTGGTTTGCTGCCCATGCCCTATGCTACAAATGCTGAGTAGTAAAGATTTCTTTTATTGCATGAAAAGCTGAACCGTGGTGGATGCATTTATTTATTGCTGACATGGTATTATCAAAGTCACCTTTTTCTCTCTTATTGTGTTGCAGTAAAGCATCCAATCCTGTTTTTTTTTTCTATTATTATTATTATTTCATTTTGTCATCTCTTTTTGCTTTCTACATCTATGGATGTCAAACGGGGATTTTGAGAGTTTACGGCGTGCTCTCTTGTTGCTTGGAAAAAAAAATGTTTTCACGATTCATCTTTTACAATTATCATAATGAATGGTCCGAACCTTTAAGAAAAAAAAACCTGAAATTGCTCATACGTCTGTCAAAATGAGAAATTAGAAAGTCCTTGGGATACTTATTATCCTCGTGGAAATTTTTGCAAAACATTGGAATGAGGCAGGTTTCATTCGTTAGAGAGAAAAAAAAAAAAAAACATTGGAATGAGGCAGGTTTCATTTTTTAGAGAGAAAAAAAAAACTTGCGTTTGAGAGACACCCTGCATATTCAATTTCAAATTTCTCAGTTTTTTTTTTTCTAATACCGTGGTACTTTCCCTTGTCCGCAGGATTACACCATCACAATGTATTTCCAGCAGAGCTGGCGAGATAAACGTTTGGCCTACGGCGAGCTGAACCTAAACCTGACTCTGGACAACCGTGTAGCAGACCAGCTGTGGCTCCCTGACACCTACTTCTTGAATGACAAGAAGTCCTTTCTTCATGGTGTGACTGTCAAGAACCGTATGATCCGACTTCACCCAGACGGCACTGTCTTGTATGGGCTACGGTAAGTCATAGTTGGTCCATGTAGACATTGACAAACATTACTGATTTACACATGTTATCAAATGGACACACCCGTTATCACGTTTCCCTATGACTGTTTCCCAAACTTTTTTTCTGGGGACTCATATTTTAAAAGTCACAAACCTTCGCGACCCAAGTCAATAGACATGATTCGTAAAGTCCTGGGAAACATGATGCGAGGCGACCCAAAATAAATCTCTTGCGACCCACTTTAGGGTCCCGACCCAGTCTTTGGGAAACAATGCCCTAGAGCAGTGGTTCTCCAACTGTGGTACACTCTATTGGTATGCGGGGAAAGTTCAAATTTTTTACATTTACATTTTCAGTTGAATAACTCTGGACCATACCATGCACAATTAATACAACATTTAAACATAAACATCTTTATAAACATCTCTCCTGTGTGGTGGAAGCTAACAGGGACGGCCTGTGCTGCTATATTCTAATGTTGGTCATCATGGTGGTACTCAGAGAGCTCCATGTTTTCTCAGGTGCTACAGAGTAGAAAACGTTTGAGAACCACTGCCCTAGATAAACCAATGGAGGCACATGATAATTGTGCTCATTGTCCAAACACTTAATTTCCATTTCTGACATCAACCGATACCGATACCTGTAGCCATGTTTCCCCAAAACTATTTTTAGGCCACATCACATATCTCCTGTCGTGGAAATAACACACTTAAGATATTCCACAAATTAGCAACTAGCAATATCTGGGGAAACCGAGGCATTGCATTACTGGGTTTTCATTATCGGAAGAAAAAACGATAACGAATAAATGGCCAATAATATCAGTCTGCCGATATTTTTGGACATCCCTATTATTTACTTATTCATTAAAACATAATCCTATTCACAGTTGGCCACGGGATGTTGTGGACGCGGGGCTGGAGCTCATCCCCCACTAGCCATTCTCAGGGCTCACATTAAGGGACAAACAGCTTTCCTCACTCACATTCTCACATCCCTACACTCTGAACACTCTGAGAACAGACTACTCAGAGAAAACCAACGTGCACAACGGGAGAACATGGTCAGGAACACCAGCTCACCATGCTGTCCTTAGTGCCAGCTTTACCAAATGAATGATTCATTGTTTCGTGTCATTGTACCTTGTTATTATAAATTGGGTCGACCCTCCTTTGCTTTTCCATTCTACCTTATTTTTAGATGTTAAATGTGAGCTGCTGTTACGATGGACAGAGGATACAGCACATCAACCTCATGATAATAGAAATATGAGAGAAACAGCTCAGTGAGACAAGAGGACAAACTCAAGAATAAAGGGCAGTCTGGGACAGGGGTCACCAACATGGTGCCCAGGGGCACCTGGTAGCCCCCTTGGACTGCCTAAGGTGTCCGATGGGTATGTTCTAAAATTAAAACTAGTCAACAAACGGGTCAGAAATTGTACTCTAACTGTGCTTTTTTAATCAGTTACACTTGCAGTGATATTCAAGTAGCTCTTCAAATTACTAAGTGACCTTTCAAAAAAGGTTGGTGGTCCCTGGTCTGGGATTTCTGTATTTTTGGAGAATCTGTTAAAAGTTGGTAGCAAAAGTTCCCATGTACTTACCTAATGTCTTATCACAGATAAGTCTGTTAAAGGTCACTTTGACCTCACGATACAAATTTGTCATGTTGTTTTCTTCAAAATGCCCACAAAGATGCTTTTCACAGCAGCCATTTTTAGGCCTGTCTTGCAGAGGGAGCACAGGTGATACCGATCACATTAAGTCAGGACAGTGTGACACTGAACCAGAGTGCACCCTGAAACAGAGGACGCTTAATGGAAATCCAGCCATTTTTTTTAATTTTCTTTTTTTAATTCACCTGGACTTTTCCTCCAGTGACCTGTTAAAGTGACTGCCATCCAAAAAGCCTGCCCAGCACAGGTTTCTACATGAACCCACAGGTTAAAAGCTAGAATCAGGGTGGCCACCATTTGAAAGTCAAACGTCCAGGTCAACATAGACCCATAAAAACACTTTTTCCTTGTCCTCGTCAACACTAAAAGGACAGGTTGTTGTTGTTGTTGTTTTTTTAAAGTGCATGAGGTACTGCAACTGGTTTACACAATTTTCTGAAAGACCTGTTACTTCTAATGAAGCCTGTTGAGGACCTGGTAGTGTAACATTTACACTCATTGTAACCACACATGCTCTTCTTCTTGTGAATGCAGAATATTAATGGGATCAATTTTTTTTTGACACACAAAATTTAAGAACTTTATTTGTCCTTCTGAGGTTGCCTGGCAACAAAATGATTCAAGCAAATGAAAACATAAATTATCCCCCCGTGTTACGAGGGTCTTCCGCGCATAGTGGCTCCCTGATATCCTGAAATGAAAAAAAAAATCAAAAATAAAACTATGCAATTGTTGAGGACAAAATTATAGCAATTTTAACTAGAAGTAGTTTTGACCCTCAGTCCAATAAGAGGTATCTCAATGATTTACATACAGTGGTGGTAGCCACTGTATGTATTGATAGATAGAGATAGTATATATATATATATATATATATATATTCCCTAACACACTCCTGACTTCTGATTGGCTTATTTTGATATCTTATCCTCCGTTTAACCAATAGTCACAATCACATCATAAAATGGGAGGTAACGTTATTCTGCATGGTAGGAGCACCTGTACTTATGTACAAGGGGGCTTCAAGATACGAGTTTAATCGGTTCCACAACAGCACTCATATCTCGTTTGCATTCTCCCCATGAAAAATAACTAAAACCCAATTCATTAATTCCAGCCCCCTAAGAAATATACTATTATATGTTAAAATCCCCCCATCTAAACATCAAAAACGTAGCTATAAACAAATGGGTAAAATAACCCAGAGAGGTACGGTGAGCAGGAGAGCGCGACAAAGTGTCGGGAGTAGGAGAAGGACTGGGAGTGAGGACTCAATTACATGATAGAAAGAGAGCGATAGCGACAGAGAGAGAGAGAGGGAAAGAGATAAANNNNGAGGGACAGTGAGCACGACAGCATCGAGTGGAAAAATGGAGCACTCGTATCTCGATGTTTCCTGGTATCACGAAGAAAATGCTTACTCGTAACTTGTAAAACTCGTATTTCGGGTAGCTCGTATATCTTTTGGGGTGAATACAACATCCTTTCAGTGGGTCAGAGTGTGGTGTGTACCTGTTTTGTTTTACCATAGTGATTATCTCTTCAGATATTCAACCCCTTAACCAACCGTCAGTGAGAACTCTGAGATAAGAGGTGAAGCCCGTTGAAGAAGCCAAGCCCGTCTGGTTGTCTACTTGGGAACTTTGAAGCAGGAGCCCATTTTATTCCCACGGAACACTAATATCATTTGGCACTCGTCGCACTGCCTACTGCGTATACCTCCAACTACGGCGTTTCAAAATGATCCAACAGGCTCCAAGTGTCACAACACCTGCTTAAGTATCTTTAGTGCCTGCGTAAAATAGGAAGAATTTCAGGGGCCATTGCATGAGCCAGTCCTCCAGCACATCCTCAGACACACTACACGGTGGTTTATGGTTATCACCAGCCTCTGCAGTAATGGATTATGGCAGATGGAGTTAGAGCTCTGCTTCGGCCCTGTCCATTGTTTCAGCCGTTGTACCGTAATAAGACACAGCTCATCATCTGTGTAATAGTGATTCCAGGACCTTTTCTTTACAAGCCTCCTCTAAGCTTGTAATTATATCATTTGGGTGCAGGTTTGATTTGCCCGAGGGTTGCCTGGCCCAATTTTCTCCAGAACAAAAGACAAAAGTCTCACAACGGTATACCCTCGGTTTTCTGAATAGCCCAGCTCATGACCTTTTGCGTTTGCTTTTCGATGTTTCAAATGCGTTTCCCTGTTAAGACTGAACAATACAGAATGCCAAATGTGAACGGTGCCATAAAAACTGTGGACAATCACATTACGCACAATGCCGCACCTTGTGTTGGGCTCATACTTAATCACTCTGCGCACAGTGTGCTGATACAGGCGTTTGCATTTTACTGCTTTTATCTTCTTGGATGTTTAGATCAATTTTTCACAATTATTCGTACTGAATGGGGCTGTAATACATTTCTGAATATTTAAACTCTTGCGAACACAATGAATATATTTGTCCCCACTAAGGTAGGAAAAAAATCACTTGGAACATTTTTTTTTTAAGTCAGTGGTTCATGATGATGTATATCGCACTTTATATTTCCACTGTCCATCCACTAATCACTGCTTTAGTACAGCGGCCCCCAACCTTTTTTGTACAAAGAACAGGTCGGCCATTATCAGTTGTTACTGCGAACCGGTAATACCATACCATCAATAAAGGATCATTAAATTTTTCAGAATAATACTTCTTTTAGTGGCGCTTTGGCCCAGAGGCAATGTCTCTGTCGTTGGTGTGGAACCCCAGGGTTCACCTCCTGGGCAAGTTCGAATCCCGGTTAGGGTGGTTGGTACCTTCCAGTGGACTCACCACCTGCAGGAAGGTTTAGGTGGGTTGATACGGTGCAATGTGATTTGGGTGGCGACTGCTGCCCCCGCGACCCGGTAACGGATGGATGGATGGATGGATGGAAAACAACTTCTATACCTTATTCTGCTAGTATCAAAGTCTGAATGACCTGTTGGTAAAGTAAAGGGATATGACTGGATTCTTTTGTAAATGAAGTAAATTAGTAAAACTCGAGTACATTTTTTTCACTCTATCCCACTGCGTCATTACCAATCAACCTACGGACTGTCACTTTTCCTCACACTCTGATTCTGGGACAAGATGCAAACCCGTTGCGAGGATGCCGGTCGAGTACAAAATGCGAAGGACAACGGGAGGGTTAAGCACAACCTGTGACTCAAGAAGTGGATGCTGCTAAATCTTCCAGTGTACCTTTAAGTAAAAGGGTAAAAAAAAAAAACCTCATATATGAATTATGATAGTTATAAGTTATATTCAGCACGGAAAGCAGAGCAAATAAGAAGGTATAGCGGGTATCTGATATTGCATTTAAAATCCACATCCAGGCAGTAAAATAAACTTACCCTGAAAATATATAACATATTAAATCTTTCATAAATGCCATATTCCTACAAATGTGATCTGCAGCTCTAGCTGCATTTCTACCTTGCACAGTGTTTCCATGGGGCGAGAA